ATGCACATATCTATTTGAGTATTTAGTCGGAACACTTCGACGACTTATTCAGCATTTTTGTCATCTTTTGAATAATTACATATCACTCTGTCATTCCGTACAGCTTCATTAAATGAGACAGGGAGAGCGGGCTGGGATCAGGGATGTTCATCAAGACCCCACCGGCGATTGTAATTTCACGTGGCGCTTGCTGAAAATGCGAATTTTTATGTACGCGCGTAAAGTTAACCCTACGATGACATTATCAACTATAACAGTGTAATGTTTAATTGACAGAAAAGTGAAATTCTTTGAGAAAATAAAAATTAATTAATTTGCTCATTTAAATATTACGAGACCTCCCTGAATTAACATCAACGTTTCATTTACCCGTTACGGCAGTTAAAGAGTCTTGTAACATTTATTTGCTTTACATCTATATATCCTGAAACTGATTTTCTTCTGAGATTAGTGCCATTAATCTTAAAGTGTGCAACAGGGCGTAAGCCTTCTGCAGATAGTAACTATTACAATGATGAAATACAAATATGAAATACAAATTGAAATAATATGGGATGGAGAACATCAAAAAGGGCACATTTGCAAAATAAACAAATAAAAATTAATGGGAATGCAATAAACCGCAGAATCACATTGATTCGTATAAAAATTAATATGTGGTAACAAATGGAATTCACGAATTGGTTTGATAATTATTGCACGCGGTATTTATAAAATACCGACTCTTTCGATAACGAATTTATGTTAATGAGGCTTTCGAGAGTTGTCGACCGTCCAAGAATTAATTGTTTCATTGGCTCCTTACGAGTTATTTTACTTTTATATCGCTAATGATTATGGTCCGTCATCTACATCTGCATCACAAATGCTCGCTCTGTGACACGCTCTGTAACAACGAATTAAAACTCACTTCCCCCTTTTTCCATTTATTACCTTCCTTCTGGAATAAGATACTTTCCTGATAAAAAGCTGTCAATGCAAACAATACAAACTTTATACTCGGAGCATAATTAGTTCGTGAAAATTTTTGTTTAATAAGAAGATTATATTAAATAGGATTGCAGGGGGGATCCTTGAGTCATCAAAACGAAATTCATTTCTGACTTTACACTGACATACAAATACTGATTTTAGTTAGCTCAAAGAGCGGAATCGAAGTGACAATTTGCAATTTAAAATAGCGCCAAATCAGGTTTGGAAGCGCAGCCACTGAAATTACAGTCGTCGAGAGGTTTGACAGCGCGAAGTCGAGCAACGAGACTAAATGCGATCCACCGAGATATAAATCGTCATCGCGGCGGGCATATGGCCCCCATATATGTACATCGATCGCTCTCGCAGCGCTCGATCACGATCCACGACGGATTCACCGAAGTCCTCGAGGACTCGAGTACGCGAGACTCTGTACGGAAAGCAGGGGTGGTCCAACTTGGCAGTTTTTTCTTCTTTTTTTATTCTTTTTTCCGCGGTTTATATTCGCCCTCCTCGCATTCGTCATCTCTCTCTCTCTCTCTCTCTCTCTCTCTCTCTCTCTCTCGATATTAAGGAATTAATCGAATATTCGTGACTCTCTCGTTCACCAACTCTCGTCCACGTCCGCCAGCTGTGAAACAAACTCGCGCGGTTACGCTCGTTTCCGCGGTTGAATCTCGCTAACTCCGGGGGCGGCTACTTAACTATGAAAACGACGCCGTTAGAGCACCGGCGGGACAGGCGCGGCGCTAACGAGCGCGGTGAAAGTCCTTACTGCGCTCGTGCACGTAAAGCGATTATGATGGATAACCCGCGGCTCGTTCCGCACGTAAGGAGTAGGACCATGCGGGGGAAGGAGGAATGGCGGAAAAACGAGAGGGGCGAAAGAGCGGAAAGGAAGAAAGGTGGCCGCGAGAAGAGATGCGGGACAGCGAGAGGGACGGCGGGGTGGGACACAGTGCGCGCGTGTTCCGCAGTATTCCACCATTCCAGCTTGCGCTCCGCTCCGTTCCTGTAGGTACGCCGCGCACCCCCGTATTTCCTCCCCTTTGGGTTCGCACGTTATTGAGCGCTCGCCCAGCCGAGGCGAGACCCAACCCATCCACATCCTCTGTTCACCCCTGTATATCCTCAGGAGGGAGAGGAAACGAGAGAGAAAGAGAGAGAGAGAGAGAGAGAGAGAGAGAGAGAGAGAGAGAGAA